AGTAAAGCTATCTTAGATGAAAATTACTCCTACCCTGTCAAAATTTGTATTTATGTCCCCTAGTCTTACCATTCTCACCATTAAATATGAAAAAAGTGAGGCATTAACACTATCAATTCCCTTAACAATCTTAACCACCTAAATCAGTTCCCATCTAACTCTTCTTTTTTCAAGAGAAAATAAGTTTAGAGATCTTAACCTACCTTTGCAATATAGCCTTTTCATCCATGGTATCATCCTAGTAGCCCTACTCTGAACACAATATTCCAAATGTGGCCTAACCAATGACCTATACCATGGTGGTCCAACTATTGATCCACAGGCTACATTACCCTCTTTTTCTTTCTAGAATGACTTCAAATTGTAACATGAAACTACATTTGTAGTGCTGAGTAACCTTTAACTTCTAACAGTATACATCTAATTATAATTAAATTTTATTGTTTTATAACATTTCTAACTACTATTTGTGCCATTATAAGTTGTAAATCACTTGGGAAATGTGCAGCTCATATTACGCTGTCAACTTACATTACCCACGAGCTGCTTGCATGCGTGCCTCGTGTAACATTCTTATTATATTCATATTTATTTTACCTAATCGAACCTTAACTAACCTAAAAAGATCCCTATTTTTACATTTTAGTTACTTTTATAATAATAAGTAAAGAATAAATATGAAAAACAGGAAATAAAGTATTTATGTGTGTCTTCTTTTTTTTTTGCTGTTGACTATCAATGACTCTTAATGTTAATTTTTTATACTAATGGTAGTAATGCACAAAATAATTTTCATTTAATTAAATAATGCACCAAAAAACATTTCCTTTACCTATTACAATTTTTCTGGCTTTCTAAATATGCGACAAGAGCCTTCACAAATTCATCCAAGCTAGTCGTTATCTTTCCTGTGGGAACAAGGCTGCTTATACCAAAAGAGGAATTGACAATTCTCTGTTCAGGTCACAATGTAATATAATACGTCATTTGATAGATGAAAACCTTGGCTTTCTATTGGTTATAGATAATTTAGAATTAAACGTAAGAGAGAACTATTAACAAATCCTGAAAGAGAGGATGTGACAGATGTGTATGGCAAGAGGGATCTGATTTTCTATTTGATAGCTCTGTAATCAAGCAAAATTGAAAACTATCAGAATTATGGTTTGTCTGAGCAATGACTATTTTGTAGTGAATAATTTACATTAAATTTTGTACTTATTGGAGGGGGAGGTGAATAAAATAGATAAGATGGTATGGCTACAAAAAATGTCGCATTTCTCATACTAGGGGAAATTCATGATTTTTTAAGATATGGTCTTATAAAATTAAGAACTTGAACTTATATACTATGAAAATATAGATTATTAGCTATGATTTTATGCTATACTAATTGGTATAACATAAATGAAAAGTAGTTTAATAAAATTTTCAATGTAAGCCACTAAAATCTCAAGACATGCTCAGTAAATGATGCCCAGGCAGATAGAGTTAATGTATTTGAAGAAATCCTTACTATTTATTTTTAAAATTTCTATACTTTTTCATGTACTTTTCTGATTTCCTAATTTCCTGTTTGACTAAATCTCTTGAACTTCTATAATCCTCCTATTCTCCTATCATTGCAATCAATTCAATTTTCTTATATTTGTAATGCTTTTCTTTGATTTTATATCTTTGGTGAGCCAACCGGGTTTTTGATATGATATATTACTTCCTCTCATGAAAAGTTTTCTTGACTTATACCACCTTCTATTGGCACAAATTTTTGCTCACCTTTAGCTCTGATAGTCCCATTTACTCTTATGTATGTTAATGTTAGATATCTGCATACTGACTTGCAAATGATTATGCAGAAACCCTCCATCATTAGGAGTGGAATACTACCCCTATTATAACTAGTGCCCTCTCTAATCGTGCAACTGTTAACCACTTCTCGATTACTGGTCTTACTGCGCAGAGTTAAGGGACTGGTGCTCTATCATCATTTGGTTGGTTCTGACCAATTTTTTAGTCCCTCTACATTTCACAAAAGAGTCGTAATTAGACCTATATTGAGCATTTCCTCTTGGTTTGTGAAGGACGAGGTTGTTGTGTCAGATGCATTCCTCCTCATTAACTTCTACTCTGCATTCTGACTTTCTTCTTTGGGTCCATAGGGGTTGTGTATTTTTAGACCACACTCCTCTGTTGGACCTCTCCTTGGCTCCTTGCAATTTGGATGGTCCAGGTTTTTACCCATCTTGTTCCTTTCCAGGGGCCATCATTTCCACCATGGCAAGGATGTCTGGCTTCCTCACAAGATTTTCCTGCTTTCTTCCTCTTTTCTTCTAGAGTTGAGGCTCATGCTGGTTGGTTGGTGAAGGTGGAAATGTTTTCTTCATTCCCAGGCAATACCTTGTTCATCTTGGAGTTTTGATTTATTTCCTACTCAGTTGGGCCCAGTCTTATCCTTTTTTGGTTTAGGGCTAGGGTAATTCTTGTTTGTAGCCTCTCCTCCTGTACTTTTCCCATTGTGCATGAGATTCTCTTTCTCATTTGGGGACAAGGGCTTCTCATTAAGCCCTCATTCTTATTGGCCATGCCCTCTTGTGTTGTCTTTCATGGGTTTGTTGGTCCAGTGGATTCTCGTTTAGGATCCCTTGGAGTCTCCTTTCATCCTTCCTTCTTAACCAACTTAAGCTGATTAGCTGGATCATTTCAACACCTTTTTGGGGTGTTCCTCCCTCGAATTCATAATGTCTCCTTTTCTGGGTACTCCTCTTTATGGTTGGGATGATTTTCTCAGGAGGTTTATGGTTAGTGGTTTCTCTCAAAGTCCTTTTGCCATTTCTTCACTGTGGACTCTTAGCTGTTGGGCTGTGGTTTACTTCCTTCTGGCCCTACAGGGATGGTCGGTGGTAATGTTGTCTGACTACTGATTTCTAGTTCCATAAATCCTTAGGGAAGCGGGCACTCAATTAAATGACTTCTGGTGAAGGCCACTGGTCCTCTTGTGTTGGGCTTCAGCCTTCATATTCTTGTCCTAGTTTGTAGTAGATCATTTATCTCTGCCTGTTTGTGGCTTTCCCTGTGACAGTGCATGCACTGATTCCTTCCATGGTGACTACTCCCATTGTTTATTCTGTGGAATCTTTCCTAGTCCTGTGATCATTATCAATTTCCCATAATGATAAGATTTGCCTATAAATTCTCCTGTCTTATTTTTCCTTTTTCTAGATTGACTTTGTTTTTTCTGTGCATTTCCCTTCATCACCTCGTCCTGTCCCTGGCTGCACATTGGTGCGAGTATGTGGACCACTCCCCATCCTTTTAATGATTATTATCTTCACTAACTAGCCATTTCTTGTTCAGAGGGATTTAATCTTCCTCCAGTTTCCATTTTGCACTCCTGTCTTTCTATGTGAGTAGTAAGTAATCCTTTCTGTTTCTTTGTAGGGGGCCTTTCTTACATTTGGATCCCATTCTGTGGCGAGTGGTGCCTAACCAGGTATACTTAGTCTTAAATCCACACTGTAAGACCTGTGATCATCCACCATGCTAGATGACTGTGACATTGAGGTTCTTCTTACTGTGGGCTTGATGTACAATTCCAGATTACTAACTAGTAAACAAACTAGGCTGGAAATAATGTCTACGTTATTTTCTCAAGCTACAAATTCCTATTTTGACTCCATGTCTACATTATTTATTAATTTTAGCCAAGTTGTAGGCTTGAAAATACAATCTTTGCATTTTGTTTCAACTTATTTGTGTTTATTTTTGACAATCCTTATTCCCCTTTTTAATTTAACAATTTTTAATTTTCTTGTAAGGAACTGGTGACCAAGAATGTTAATTGCTACTGGATACTATAGCAACAGGGGCAAGCAAGTTCAATACCAGTCTAACATGAACAACCTGGTATATAATTGCATAAATTAAACAAATTAATGCAAGTTAACTGTTGTACTCTCAAAATTAAATAGAATATTTCATTAGAAATTAAGAATATAATATTTATAACTTGTTTAGAAGGAAAACTATAAAGGCCCAACAAAGTTATTCAGACCATAGTGTGTAGTGCAGGAACCCACTGGTTTAGTAAGGATTAGCTCAAGTAAAAGTTGTACTTTTTTTACGCATAGCTGTATCTGAATTTTTTGATGCTATCACCTAACAACCCTCACCCACACACACTTGTGGTTGTAGCCTTACTAATATTTCATTGATCTCTATTCTTATGATTCATATGCTTCTTATCCTTATATTATGATATAGTAGTATTATAATTTTTTTAAGACAGTGAAGTTAGGTATTTGCTTAATAGTAATCATAACTAACACTGTTGTTCCATTTTGCCATCTTTCCAGAACATCTTAAAACAAAAGGGTAAATGTAAGTCTAATTTAGTATAAAATTGGACAATCGTAAGTAAATTGAATCAAGTTGACTATTGTATTCTCAGAATAATTCTAAATTAATTAGAATGTGCCCATCTAAGCCAATAGGGTTTCATGGCCGTGACCTGGGCTACCTTGTCAAGAAAAATTGTCACTTTTTTTAATTTTCAGTTGAATTCCCAGCTGTCTTTTTGAACTTGGTTACTGGAGATATTATTGAACAATTTCATACCTACATTCAGCCAAGGGAACATCCAAAACTGAGTGATTTCTGTCAAAAATTGACTGGTATTTCTCAGGTATGTGTGGAAATATATATATATATATAT